TGTGGAACACTCACAAATATGACTTGCTACAAATGTTATTTACATGAACGTAGTCAAATAAAGTATGTCTATGCCTATGTCTATGGTTTTGATATGGAATGAAACGAATACTGGCCCTACTGATGAAGCAACTGTGTAGCGAAACGCGTCTTATGTAAAAATTATGTAATTAGTTTTATCGATAAATATCAAAATATAATTATTTGGATGATTTGAAGATGAAAATAACCAAAAATATGAGAAATTAGCAATAAGGTATTCGAGATGAAATGGAAAACAATTAATGATATGGAATGTAAAATTATGATAATCAAAACAACTTAGACTAATAGTAGAAAAGATAATAATTTCAAACTGAGTTAGTTTTCACAATCTTCTTCGGATGATTGTAGGCTTTAATTTGTCTTATTTTATTTTCTATAACTTTTGAAATAAATCCAAGAGAAGTCAGCTCATACAGGACATCATTCGAACACATTTGTGAATGATTATTCGTCAGCTCTCAATTAATGCGAAATTTTAAATATCTTACCTTCCATTTGTCCGATGACTGATGTGTATTCGATTCGATTGGTCAAACCAGGCACGATTCTTTTCAACGATAAGGTTTCAATTCGATATTTTTTCCTGCGAAGGCAGTTTTTGGATTTGAATTCTTCGTCCTGTTGAATTTGATAATTGCCCTTCCTGAATTGAGTATTTTGAATTGGCTATTTTGTAAATTAGCCCTGGAAATTCCAGTTTTTTTGCTTAATCAAACCACAAGGCTCCCGGTTTTTGATAGATAAACCGTTGCCTACCCGTTTTAGAGGTAAGTCTTTGAGAAGCACCAGAAATTGGATAATACTCTGGATACCTTTTTGTGATAGGTTTGCTTTAACTGAAATTTAATTTTAGGGTTGTAGGATGACATCAGGCGAATAAGTAGTTTATGTTGAAAATAGTGAATGTAATCACTTTGCTGTTGCATATGCTATCACGTCCAACTCGGGTAGAGGCTAGAAGTACAGATCTTTCTGATCTTTTTCTTTTCTTCAATTGTGGGGGAAACGTCCTTGGTGGTGTCCAGCTAGATAGTGTATTACATCCATTTTACTGTTATGTGAAGAGGACCAATAATGCCAGAACTTATAATTTATTTCAACTTATAATGTTATTCTGAACCTATTTCAAATTTTTATAAAAAAAACCTATAGGTGAAGTGTTACTTATAACTCTCTATAAAAATCATGATTATGATTATTAATGTTTTGAGCTGGGTAAACATTTTTCAATGATGATAAGAGCAAGTTTGAAATAGAGGAGAATGCGTGGATCTACATATGCATCAAAGGCACGACGCTGATATTCTTTCATAGAAAAGAACCCTGATTTAAAATGAAATGTATAGAAGTTGTCAATGCATGATGTCAATACTTCATGAAGACTGAAGCAGGAGAACAGGCTAGAGTATGTCGAACTGGAAAACCAAGCAATAAGAGAACAGAAAGACGAAAGAGTGTCTAATTAACGACTGTGGACTCTAGCAATCTTGACCATTGCTGATTTTTGTTTTGTATTTCGAAATCTCAACATGTATGTATTTATGCATCAAGACTAATAATTCCATTTTCATGCGAAAATGCCTGGAGATATTCGACGGAATCTCATTCTCCTTCTAATGAATTGTGCGTTGTCCGGCTCCGTGTTTCGCAGTGACGTCACAAGTCAGGACAGAGCGGACAGAGAGATGCGCGTCGGCATACCGTTATGAGTGTATCGTGGATAGATCTATGAATTATTACGAATAATTTGAAATTATAGTATCAGTATGTCCAACTCGATTATTCATTTGATTTTTTCCATTCAGGTATTGGATTGTCACAAATAATGCCAGGAGCATACTCTGCTGTTGGCGCAGCCGCATTCGCTGGTGCTGTAACCCACACTATGTCGGTCTGTGTCATACTCTTCGAAATGACTTCCTCCATATCCCACGTGATACCAGTTCTAATTGCTGTTCTCATAGCTAATGGTGTGGCAAGATTCTTGAGTCCAAGTATTTATGACTTGGTGATACGATCGAAGAAACTACCATATCTTCCTGATTTATTGCCAAATACCAGTGGTGAGTTGAAATTTACTTGGTTTGATATTACAACTTTCAATTTTCCAATCATTCAGAAATTAAATATATAGTCCAGGACTAAAGAATGTTGATGGATTTGAAACATGAGAACATGAAACATAAAACAAATCGTCTGAACTTCTCAACAAATAATTACATGGGTGAATATGCCAAACTTCTGGGTGTTATACTCGAGGATACCTCAAATTGGTCGAAACATATTGAATTGATTTGCTCTAAATTGTCTAGCGTGGTTTTTATTTTAAGACAACTGAGGAAAGTGGTGAGTGAAGATGTTTTGTTAAATACCTATTACGCACTTTTTCACCCCCATATAGCATATGGTAAAATATTGTGGGGCAGTTTCACCAATTCAATAAAAGTCTTCAAACTCCAAAAAAAGGCTGTTCGAACTATTGCGTTTGCAGGTTACAAAGACCACTGTAGACCTCCTTATTATATTAGGTATATATATATA